GGGGATGGCCTAAGTCTAGCAGCATCTATATCATACAATAATGGCAGCAAAGCCTGTGGTCACTGGATGGTCCTGTATCAACCAGTTAAGGAAATTAAGGGTAGGTCTTCAAATTTGGCCCTGCAAGGGTAATTGTCAAGATTCAATTATCTAAATTTTGTACCTTAATTGAACCAAACACTAGGCACATCATCATTCCAAATTTTGAGGCTTTGCAGCTTGTTCCATCGTCCCGACGCCAATTATATTTTGCCAATCTGGTAATGGATGGCACTGTCAGATTCTCACCAAAGAGCTAGTAGTGGGCATCTTTTTCATTTCTATTTACTCCGCAAATGAAGGAATTGAAAGGTTAAGAATGATTTGTTTTTCTTCCTGAACATATTGCTAGCTTTGCCATTTAAATGGCTAATTGTTCAACAAACAATGCTAGGAAGAAAGCACAAGCTGCATTGTTTAAAGAACATTCTTATGCCCTAATACTTCAAAAGACAATGACAGAAACCTAATCCTTTTGTGACAAGAGGTTGTAAACTTGGATTATGACAGGCATTTAATAAGTAGATAAATCTGACAGAACATTGTCTGGGTTAAATGAGCTATGGCTCACCTTCCAAAGTCCATAGTGTAAAAAACCACTACCTAAGCACCCTTTTGCTAGTCAGGTCTTAACAAAGGGCATCTATCAGATCATACTAAACTACCATTAAAAGTTAAAACCATGAAGTGATGCAAATTCAGTAAGATACATTCTAGTGAGACCGATTTTAGATTTTAGCAGATTCATACTATCGAATGATCCACCCCATGATTTCCCCTGGAGTGTAAGAAATGCACCATTGTCATATGGTATAATTGAAACGTCTTGAAAGCCCCAAATTTCTTCATCTACCACCTATTGGAAATCACACAAATCAGAAGTTAATACACTACATATAATTCTAGCCAATTCGTCTAGGTAAACTAGTGATATCCCAGGAATGGTTGCTCAGGGCTTTCCTTTAAAGACACTTTAGAGAGTAATCAAACCATGCAATATCATACCAATGCAGATGTCAGAGATGATACTCCATCCATGTTTCATCAATCTTTCAAGCATGCAATCTGCATCGTCACCATAATAATCCAATCAATTTCAACTTCATTGAAGTCTGATGGATGTACATACATTCCATGATAAACCATCTCCCTTTATACAAACTAAATATGACAATGTTCTCAGTGGAAGATATTTTGGAATCTATTGAATTACAAAAAGTGTTGGAAAGGTGAAAATGATTTTGGAAGGAAAGGATTCATGAATACCTAAGCTGTCACAATATGATGATGGAACCCCAACCATAGTATATTGGAAAGTGAGCTACTGAGCACTATTGATGTGGGCTTTTAACTTTGTACATGTACAAAGTGTTTACAATGTTTAATTAGCATCGGCTACATACAAGCATGCAGACAAGTAAGTTGGTTGATGACAACTAGAGATATATCTCTATGGGAGATAAGAGGATGTCGAGCAGACCTCTAGATCAGGCACCGAGGAAAACATTGAACTAGAACTCAAATGAAGTGAAAGAGTTTGATTTTTGAACTGTGTCCATAATGCTTAGGATCATATGAAAAGCATCTGATATTCTCAGAAGCCTATTCTGAGGTACTTGGAAGTATAGTACAACAGAATCACATGGCTCGGGATTTGAATTGAAGTCTAATGTAGCTTTAAAAGGTAAGAAATATTGCACTTTCTAAGTTCTGAGTACCATTTACTTTCCCAGAAAAACAGAGACAGTGAACGTATGTGCAATTACAGAGAAATTTTTATGGATAAATTATTAATTTACAAACAAAATATCAGGCTGTCGATATGTCCGAGTGGTTAAGGAGACAGACTCGAAATCTGTTGGGCTATGCCTGCGCAGGTTCGAATCCTGCTGTCGACGTTCTTTTTCATTTTCCCAATTTTATCCCATAAGGCTAATATCGTCTTTTTAAGGATAGAATATATCTCAGAGCTTCTGTTTTAGGGCAAATTATATTTTTCTACCCTCAAAGTACGCCTAATTTTTGCTTGATCTCTAAACTATCAATTAAATAATTAAATCCTTAAATTTTAAGTTATATTTTCAATTAAGTCCTCTCCAAGTCAAATTCATTAAAAATTTTAGAGAAAAAGAGTCGCACGAGCATAACGGAACCTCCATTTGTGCGAGGGCATCGAGGCTTTATTTGTCCAACGAAATTTATTGTCTAAAAAGAACGATTTAATCAAAATATAGCAATCCTAAACAAACCTTTAGAGCATCTCTAATAATGCTATCTAAAATAGTTACTTAAAATATACTTAAATATTGTATTATCTACTTTAATTAATTATTTTTTTAAATTTATTCAAACAACGTAATCTATTTTAATTAACCACTTCAATTAACTTTAACTAAGTTTTAATAATAAAATTCAAAAAATAGTAATTCAACTATACATTATACAAATTAATCAATTATAAGTTACAAGAGAGAGCTCACCTTATGAAAATTATTATTCTCAAACAAAATTCTTTCAAATTAAATCACAAAATCTAAAATAAAATCACTTCAAAATTTTCGAGTTTGATCGAAAACTTCTAAAGGTTTCGAGTTTTATCAAACTAGATGTCATCGTCTCTTCATCGATTGCCTCATCCAAACACTAGATCAATAATTTTTGAAGTAGTTAGGGAGATGTAGCTAGTGAAAATGAGGTTATAAAAAATAGATAGGAGAATAGTTAGTTTGTTGGAGCCACGTTTTAGACTGAAGTTACCTAAAATAGCAAAAAAGGAGATTTTAATTAGCTTTTTACAATTGCTCTCATAAATTCGAGTCTCAAGAAATGGAATTCATGCTTAGTATAAAAATATTATATCACCAATAATTCGGTTAGAAGAATGTTACTGAACCTATTTTAAGAGCAGAATAACAAGAAGATAGAACTCACAGATAAAAAGTCTTTCATGCCCATTATACAGTCTCTTATATTCAACTTATATTTGTATTTATTTGGTCAAAATTATATATGTGAGAATATTTTTTTAAGTACAAATTTTAAGTGTGTAAATTAATTATAATTCATCTCTTCCCAGTCATCTCGTCGGCGTCCATGGAGTCTTCTCTCCGCTCAACTCTCTCAGTCTCCGATTCCCCTTACCCTACCCAAACGGTCAACACCCACCAGAAGAACCTACGTTCCCGTACGGTGCGTCACAAGGGAAAACCGTGGACCCACCCGTCATAGACCGAAGTTGTCAGCACACAAGCAATCCAATCCGTCCAAACACTTGGCAGAAAAACTTTATTCTGAAACCACCCCAACCCAAACTCTAGTATACAGAGAGTCGGCGACTGCTTAGAGAGAGAGAGAGAGCATCCGAATTACTCTCTTCTGCAATTATTGTAGAGCCAAAGAAAGAAATAGAGAGGCAAACCCTAGCTTCATCATCCTCATCGAGTAGTAGCAATTCTTCACCACCGGAAGATGCTTGAGTTAATTCATACCGAAGATTACTACCTCCATGGCAATCTCTCACTCTCTCTCGCTTGAGATTGACATGTCTGCTATGCTGAAAGAACAGTAGGTTAAACTTTTCTCTTTGATGAAGGTATAGATCATTTGACTTATTTAGCTGTTCAATTGATAGTATAGCTGACTTGGTATTTTGTATTTGGCATATATAATTTGTTTCCTTTCCTGATTTTGGTATTAGCCAGGACTGTCTGTTACTTCAATAGGAAGCAGAACTGGATGCTTTTCTCGACTTTCTCAACTGGCGATTCTCTATTTGGGTTGATAAACCTACACCAGGAAATGCTCTTATGAATTGGAGATACAGAGACAGCCTGCCACTGAAACGAGAGGAAAAGGTAAACACTTCTAAGTTCTAAAGGTGTCCCTATGCTGCTTGTTAGCTGATGCTTCTGATAAATGCTTGATTATCATCGTATTAGTCAACACACTTAAACTACAACTTGAAAATTCGTTAGGTGAGAGTCGTTTGGTAGATTAGACTCCCTGTATTAAATTTGTGAATGACTGACTAGTGACTACCTCCTAGTCTCTAATGAACTTACCAAGTTTTAATTTAGAATAGTGGCACATGCCAAACATTCTCCATAATTATTATTTTTCTCCTTTCTTTTGCCAATCCCCTGGCTGGCGACCTATGTTGCATTGCCGGAAAGACCCTTGCTGTCAGAGGCACAGTGCTGGGTGAGATGACAATCTCCATAATTACTAGATGTAGAGATCAGCTAAAGTATAAAAAATATTATACTCTGTGTATCGAAGACTGAATTCTGCATAGATATGGTGACCTACATATATCCAAGATACACTTTAAATGGTTATGAATCATGGCATATGCAGCATGAAGTATACATTTTCATCAATTCATGAGAGAATATTGGGTATTGTATGGTGATCATGTTTAGCCGTGAAAGCTTGCTCATTAGGTAGTCATGTTTTACATATCCTGTAGTCATATTGACTTACTCATACGGATATATTTGTTATTTTTTTATTTTACTCAACCTCTAAGTTTCCATGGGTCAGAATTACAGGTTGTAATTTTTAGTTGTCGTTGTAGTAGTGGAAATGCCCATGTAAACAACTTTTCTAATTTGATGTACTTCAGTTTAGTGGGTTTCACTGTCCCCAAGGACTGACTAAGAGTTTTTATATTTTCTACACAAGAATGCAATCATGAATTGAATGTAACGAGTAGGCAAACATAGCATCCCCTTAAGTTATACTGGTAGTCTTTTCCATTTTAAGGTGTGCTTCCTCCGACTTATTGACTAATGCATATGTAACCTTTGAGACTGACAAGCGTTTACTCTTTCTGCCTATAATTACGGTTAAATTTATGCTCTCACCCTCTAACCTCTTGGGGTGTGTTTGGATAATTGGAAAGGATAAGAATGGATTAGATTTTTTTGTATCCTAACCCATCCCACCCAAACCCATTCAGGCACTTAATTAGATGGGTTATGTATACCATCCAACCCAAACTATTGTTTGGCAAGGATGAATTGAATGGGATGGACTCCACTTGACTTTTGTAGATATTTATCATTGTACCCATTGATGAACCAAACCTGTATAGTAGTCACCACCACCGCCGCCACAACAGAAACGCCACCACTGCCAGAACAGAAACACCACCACCACAACAGAACAGAAACGTCGCCACCACAACAGAACAGAACACCTACCACCACAACCACAACTGAACACCAACAACCACAGCAGAACACCCGCCACCACAACATAAACGTCGCCACCACCACCACCACAATAGAAACATCCACCACTATCAGATTTGAGAGATAGAGAAACATCCACCACTGAGAAGCCCAGCTTTAGCTTTGCCTGATTTTTCATTACAAATCAGCCCTCCATTCATTCCATACTATGAGTTTAAAGAAATGGCCTCCGATGGATTTATGAGAAAATCAACCCACAGTGACCGGAGCTCCACAACTGATTCTGGCACTAGCGGTAATGATTTAAGCCATGAAAATGGAATATTGTTCCACCCAGAAAGATCTTTCCTTTTTGCTCCTTTAGAACCCACTTTTGAGTTTAGGCTTTAAAACAGCATCTTTGAATCCTCTACCTTCAGAACCACCTAGAATCCTTCAGCATCACCACCATTACCAACCTCACATTTATGGCCGTGAGTTCAAGAGAGGTTCAAAAATGATCACTGGGGTAAAAAGGAGAGACCATTACCAACCATCGTGGTGGATGATTTTGATTGTGAACGGTCGAGGTTAGGGGTGGTGCTGGTGAAGATCTCTTCTTCATTCTGTCCACTCCGGCACCTAAACACATCCTAGTAGAAATCTTAGGCTTGGGCTTCGTCGCCTTCATAGAGAGAAAGAGAGAGAGAGGATAGACAGAGAGCGAGAGCCAAAGGTCTGGACTTTTCGTTGCCTTTACAAAGCGAGAGAGAGCTCTCAAGAGAGGAAGGTAGGTAAATATGTCATTACCCTTCATACCTCATCAGCTGGGATTGAAACCCAGGGTGGTGGTGGGTTAATTTTAAACCTTGTAGTAGGGTTAAAAAGTACTGTAGCATCCGAGTCAAGGATAGACCCAGGATTGATATCCTAGCTCAATTTTTACTTCACAAACAAAGATTTTGTGGGACCCATTGCCTTATTACCCTATCCTTATAGAGGTTAGCCCACTACCCAAACACACCCTTGGTGTTGCTGGTGAAGTTGGTTGGTGATTAGGGTGTTGTGATTCCTAAAGATTGTCACAGAATGCGAAAAACTGTTTATAGAAAAAGTTTTTTCTTCATGACACATTGATAAACTTGAGTGAATATGTGTGCAAAACAGAAGTTGCCCCTCAAGGGGCGCGATTTGTTCACCTATTGTTTGAAGCTTGTTAGAGACTTAGAGTAGAATGGAACAGCTTCATTTGATAGGCTTTTTGCAGTAATATTTGTTCTTTCAGGATCTACTCATATACTTAACAGCTTCTCTTGACAGCCTTTTAGGGTGCAATTTGTTCTTTCAATCATGTATTTGTCCACTCTATCTACTTAGGTACTTAGGATATGACTTCTTTTCTTGGGTTTATCCTCAGTCAGGACAGGTTTGGAGGGACCTGGACTTACAGTACCTCAAAAGATATAGTACTGTATTGCAACTGTTGATGGCCAGTATATCTGGTATTTCGAATATTCGAGTGTCCTAAGAGTGGTATTATGTATTTTATATTTTGGAGAACTTAACAATTTATCATTTATCCATGTCAAACTGATGCATGTATGGGAGTCTTATTGAGAGTGTTCTACAAGCAAGACTTGTCTATGGAACTCCTCATATGAACTGAGCTGTTAGCTTTGAATACGTGAATCGTCAGTTAGTCTGGAATGAATTCTCATTAATTTCCTTTTTCCTAGTCATTGACATTAGAAGTCAAACACAAACAAAATTTCAGGAAAGTAAGAGTTGCAATTTCATTGGCTTGGGGCAGACACACAAGAGGACCATTGCCTCCCCCAGGTTTTGAAATGTCGCAACAAGATTCTAACTTTTTTTGCATATTTGTAACAGGAACACTCCAATTTTTGTCAACACCCCCCTTTTTCGCCAACCAACAACCCATAAGTGTAATGTACGAGTGTATGCCCATATATGTACACGTGCATATTGCTTGTTAGCCTTGCACCACCCTAATTTTTAGTGAAGTTGTAAACACTGAAGAAGAGATTTTACCGAACCAAGCAGAACATGAAATGGGGGACTGCCTGCTTTTCGATAAGTACCTAGACCTGTATCTTATTCCAACTTCTGCTTCAGGAAATAAGTAATCTCACTTTCTACTAGCTAAGTATTCAATTGTGGTTTGTGGAGTGCGTCATATTGCATTACGTGAAGTAATAACCCATTTTGATTGTTTACATCAAGGAGATCAATATGTAGTTCATAATGGAAGTTTTCTACAAATTCATGTGTTGCATCACATTGTGCATTGAAAGTGCAAAATTCTCCGAGGTGTTAAATCTTTCCTCCTCCATGGATTTATATTTATGGACTCGTGTTGATGGTGCAGGACATGTAGTTGCTGCTTCTTCCTCTTCTCAATTCATCATCAATTAAAAAAAAAATTCGTCCATTCTCAAAGGATAAATCATCAAGTTCTTCAGGGGATGAGACTTTATGCCCCATTTGCCTGGCTAAGCCAACCATTCCTTTTTTAGCACTGCCTTGTCAACACAGGTGCACGACTGTCTTCAGAGTTGTTACTTTTTGTCGTCTTCTTGCTTTTAATTTAAGGCTCAAAGGGTGTAGATCAAAAAGGAGATTCGAAGACAACCTTCCCTGGCAACCCTTTTCCTCCACCTCTGAGTGAAATCTAATGTCAGTGTTCAATGGTGAATAATTTTAATGTTTTATTGCCGCATGATTGTTTGTAACTTAACTAATTTCTGGTACTATATAAATGCATAAATGTCTGTTGAATGACCTCTAAAAATTTATCCAAAATATTAGCTTGAATTTTCGCAAGCCCAACCAAAACACAACGCAATTTGGCATTATCTTGATTTCTGAAATAACATGTGGTTAAGTTTCATGTAATTTGTTTGGTGGCAGGTACTGTTACGTAGTGTATTCGAACACGGTGTTCTGCATCTCCGTCTTTTCGGTGCTACGGATGCAGTGAGTCAGTTTTTGCCATGCAACGGGATGGTGGTTTAACTAACAATGTTACTCACACAATGATTATCCACAAGAAGAAAAAATTGGGTAAAGAGCAAAAGTACAATTACAATTACAAATAATGTGTAAGAAATGCCTGAGGGTGACATTACCATTGGATTAAGATTTTTTTTTGGTTGTTTCAATGATTAAGAGTGTTCGAATCAGTTTATATATACTTCGATTAATTCTTTCGGTTCGGTTAAAGCAGATCATCCACGTCAGGATTAAAGTATTTATAAGGAATAATTTTCTCATGGTTTAGTCCCAATGGATTCTTAAGATTCGAATTCAGAACATTTGAATTTACAACTTATTTTTATTATCACTTTAATTATCTTATCTTTTGAAGTTATAGGAAGCGTTTTTTGGATCCTTGGAGAGGTCAAACTTGATCTCTTTTTAATATATACTTGGACTTGAGTGGTCCCTTATCGGTGGCTTTGGAGCCGGAAGCAAAGTAGAATGTACCTCTTTCTTGGGTAGCTGTCTTACGTGCATTCACTAGTGAGATGTCAATTTTTATAGTTACTTTTCCATTGAGATTAAGAGTTAGCACAAACCCATTGTAAAATCGGAGATCCTGTGTTTAAATCTACTCTAGGAATGGTCTAAAGGGATTTAATCCAAGGTAATTTGTTAGATATTATGTATGTGTTCAGAAGGGTTACTAGAAGGGAATTTGATGTAGCATTGATAAATTAAAATTAATGTTTTTGATGTGTTAATCAGGTAAACTCCATCTTTTCAAAATTTTTTATGTTTTGGTAAGCTGATTGCTAAGTTCAATAACTTGAAGTGATATAGTCAGTGCTCGAACAACAATGTTTGTGTATGCTAAAATTTTATCAAATTTCAAATGTTAAATGAGGTGACACAATATTAATCTTCCGATGATTAGTGAAAAATAATGAGATATACAAATTTAGCTATTTTAATTGATTTGATATATATAGAAAATTTAGTAAGAATATTGTAGAATTGTTGGCGTTCTGGGAGATGGGCTTTGTGCAATCAATGTACAGATTCTATATGGAACTCGAATAATGCGGACTTTGATAAGTGGGTAAATACTTACTGTATCTACAAGACATAATCTAACTCACACAAGCATTTTTATGCTGCAATATTGGATTTAATTTGGAGACGTATTTCATACACACACATATATATATATATATGGATCATTGAATGTGGTCTTTCGCGAATGTTTCATGCAGAATCTCATTAGGGTGGTTTTAGATTTCAATAATGTTGCTATTTTTCTAAATTATCAAGTGACTTAGGCCCACTTAATCTATATCTTTGCCCTAAAAACAAGATCACTGAGGAGGTGATGACTATGATGTAGAATAATTTATTTTGCTTGGCAATTGTCTTCCAGGTCATTCCATTTCTGCAATTGTTCCATAAGATTATAAATAGAATCATTATTACTTGTGACTTGTGCAACATTTGAAATTTTGAATGTACGTCTTCAAAAAGTGTCAAAAACTTTAATAGATTTGGTGTTTCTTTGGTGGACCTAAGCTCCAATGTAATTTTATGAAATTCGAACCCTAGCATCTAATCCGTGCATGGTAGTATCATCTTATTAGTAGACTAAAGGACATATTCTTTAAGACAATTTTCAGAGATATATATACACATATAAATGTATTGAAAAAAAATGAAAGTTTTGAGACGTTACCTAATGCCAATGTTATATTTAACACTGTTTATCTCAAGTCAAAATAAAGAATGAGAGATGCATTAGATAGTCGACAACCAACATAAAACTTTGTCGGATCTCTCACCAAATTTTGTTTAATGAACAATTATTGGCAGATTGTAGAGAGCATTAGGTCTATACTTCCCGTTAGATCCTGAACCTAACCCTAGCTCTGAAACAATCCCTAGTTAGTACCCCAAATCAAGGAATTGTAAGCTCCACAAACCATTTGTTTTTGGCCTGAAAACACTGCCCACCAGCTTTTCTGCCCCCACTTTACAATAAAGCTAAAGCAAGAATAAAAGAACAATAAACAAGTGAAAGATAGGAAATAAATACAAAACTTCTCAACCCCACAACTACGAAAATACTTTGTTGACATAGACATTGTGTTTCTTCAACCTCATCTAAGTAAAGCAAACACCACCCTGAAAGCTTCAACTAAGGATCGTTTTGGTGCATACACAAGTAAAGATGACAAAGTGAAGACTGAAAGTTACTAAGAGTGAGAGAGAGAGAGAACTGTTTTTTGTTAAATTAGAGGCAAGAGCTGAAGGTGATTTGAAGAGGCTAATAAGCTTAACAAATGATGGCAGAAAACCCCAACTGGTGGAGCTTGAACGACATGCGTCCACAATACCTGCCGCGTTCTAGTTTCTTATCACCTTCTCCTCCTGTTTTCCCTTCTCAATATGTCTCTGGATCTTCTTCACTGCCTCTGAACTCTTTGGCCGATCATGATACCCAGAATTTTCCCCAGTCGTGGAGCCAACTGCTTCTGTAAACACCTCTCTCTCTCTCTCTCTCTCTCTCTCTCTAATTGTTCTTTTTCATATATTTTCCGTTGATTAACTCTCGAAATACGTATATTTTGGTTAAGTTTTTTTTTTTCTAAACCTCTCTCTCTCTCTCAATCAATCAATCAAATTCTTGGCATGGGTTTTGGGTGTTTATGATGATGTTATTTTGTGCTGAATGCTTTTCAGTGGTGGATTGGCCAGTGAGGAAGATGGGTTTGGTACGAGTCCTTTTCGACATTTGAAGTTGGAAAATTGGGAAGATCACATCATGAATCCACCTATAAGGGTTCCTGTTGTTGATGTGAAACGAGAGGCCGCCCGAAGTAGCCAACTATACGGTCATAAAGATGATGAATTTCAAGCTTCTAGACATTCTTGGTCATCTAAAGTCATGCCAGTTTCATCCCCGAGGTCTTGTATAACAAGTTCAAACAGTAACGTTTTGGATTTCTCTAGTAAGAAGGCAGATGGGAAGTCCAGGAATCAACATCCAGATCATTCATCTGAGGTGTGTGTGTGTGTGAGAGAGAGAGAGAGAGAGAGAGATAGAGAGGGAGAGAGGCCATCAAACAAATGTTTAGCCTACATTCTAACAAGTGAAACCATCTAATATTTGCCATGTTAACTCCATTCATCAAAGTGGGTTGTCTTCATCTAGGGTTCTTCAATTTTTCTCTTGTTTTTCTACCAGTGTAACAGCACAGTTCTTGGTGGATTATCTAAGAAGGCTAGGGTCCAAACCTCTTCAGCCCAACCATCTCTAAAGGTAACATAGAGTCTCTCTCTCTCTCTCTCATATGCATATACACTAGCTGGGGAATATTGTAATCCAATTCTTCTTGCATGTGTATTTTTCACCCATGCTCCATCACTCAAATGGATTAAGAGACATAATTAATGAGAAAATATTATATAACAAAATAATTTACTTATAATATCTCTCTGTATATTCTAAACCAGGTGAGAAAGGAGAAGCTTGGTGATAGAATAACGGCCCTTCACCAACTTGTATCCCCATTTGGAAAGGTAAACCAAGCTTTTGCAGTCTCCATATCTTCATTCCCACTGTGTTCACTGAGCACAGAATATAATGCACAAGGAGTTATTTTATGATGGTACCCACAAAGAGAATTTCATTCCTTTAAAACAGAATCAATCTCTTTCTTTCTTATTTCATGGGGACCCCCATTTCATTTCCCCCCTTGATTGTCTTTTGAACATTAAAGTAGAACTGAAAAAAATGAGCTTGGGGTGTTGTGTTATGGTGGTGTGTTGCTCTTTTGCAGACTGACACTGCTTCTGTCTTGTTAGAAGCTATTGGGTATATCAGATTCCTTCAGGGTCAAATTGAGGTGATGTTTCTTCCACATTTATTCTATCCCCAACCTACTAAAGGAATCAGTGAAAGCATGATGTTAAAGTTCCATCGATTTCATTCTTTTCCCCTATATTCTTTTTTTTCCAATTTATAAAAATGTCCTTTTACTTTTTCACCTTGAATGCAGGCACTTAGCTCCCCGTACTTGGGCACTGTATCAGGAAGCATGAGGCACCAGCAGTCTGTAAGTACCCATACCATATATACCCAGTCCACTACCCATTGCCCAAAGCAAGACAGATTCTCTCTCTCTCTCTCTCTCTCTACTGTACATGTACACGTGTGGGAGCAAGCATGTGAGGCTAATTGTGTTGCAGTGATTGATAATTGAGAACAAATATCTTTTTAGGTTAATGGAGAAAAGAATTATATATATCATGAAGAGCCTGGTAAAGTATGCTTTATTGGATCCAAGGGGTGCTTTACATTGTAAAGCATCCAGTCGGTTGTTTATTCATAAAGTTGATCATTAAGAGAACAAGGTTGTAAACTTTATGAACTTCAATAATTATTAAAGACAATGAATGATATAATTTGGAATCAAATTAATTAGTGTAAACTCCATCAATCCAACACATGCTTAACAATTATTTTCTTTTCCTTTCTAGTTCTTGAACGACAATTGCTTGAAAAGAAGAGGAGCGTCTGTGCTGGTACTTTTTCTTTCTTTGCATTAATGTTTTTCATAATGAAACTTCTCCCATCATGAGCTATGAATCATGAATACAATCAAAAAATTCGGATAAGATACTCCTCAAGTAGACTTTTGATCCATTTATTTGAATCTTATGTCTTGTTAATATTTAGGATGATGGGGATCGACCCAAGGACTTAAGGAGTAGAGGGTTGTGCTTGATTCCTGTGTCTTGCACACATCATGTTATCATTGGAGGCGATATCGGAGCTGATTACTGGGCTTCAGCTCTTGGCGGGGGATTTTGAAAAGGGGATTCTTTGGCTGCTGGATGATGAAGCTTTCATGGAATGATATAACATCACGAGCAGTCATTCTGCTAGTTTCTGCTAGTTTAAGGTTGACTGCTCATGAAGCTATGCATTCTAGGAAGTGATCAAGAACATAACTGAGCTAGCATAATCGTACATGTATACGATGAGAAGCTAGTCTATCTGTAATTTATATAAAACTGAAGTTCAATTAGCTCCATTGATCATCTAAATTACTACTGATTGCAGCCCTAGCTTCTTCTTTTGTCCATGAAGGAAGAAGCAATAGGTCATATTTAGCTTAGGACAAGCTTGAAAAAAACTCAAATTAAGTTTAACTTCAATGACTACTATGTAGTACCACGTGTAATGATTTAATATTCTAGTCACACTCTCAATCTACCTATAAATTAAAAATGTGGGATATGTTTTCCATGAGGAATTTTTTTCTCTATGAAAACTACAATTTTCTAACTCCCAAGTTTTTTTGTAGCATTCCTAAAATTTTTTGTAATTGCTTGATTCATCTAGTTTTTAGGGTTTTTTTTTTTGGATATTAGTACTTCATCTTTTAGATACCTGGAGGAACTACTCTCGACCCCTCTTTTCCCATTGTTGTTGTTCAATCTTTCTTTGTGCCTGTGTAGGGTTTTTTGGGACCTCAAAAGCACTTTGACATTTGAAAATTGCTAAATTCTTTCCGATAGCCAAAGCTATAACACATACAAATTCTAGAAGGGAAATCCTACGTGGACATAAATTATAAACTTAATCGATCACAATTACTGTATAGGCAGTCCCTCCTAATAAATATTGAAATCCATAATGAAATTAATGACCGTAATTAATCAAAATCTATATTTAAGAGCATTACTCTTATTTTAAGATAGAAATTGTGAAAAGGTACACTTTATCCTACTTATTTGTGTAAAAGTACTTCAATATAAAATATTTGTGTATAAGTATCTTTATGTGTAAATATTTTATGAAGAGGTAAACTTTTGCTGAGTTATAATTTTTTCTCTTACGAAATTGTCATTTTCCTTTATTAGAGAGAGACAAATATGACAGTTATATTAGGGATTCAGTTTCCTAAATTTATGAAATATTATTTTTGAATTTTAAATTGTATCTTTCTCTTTCATTCAACTTAAGTTATTCAAACTTTCATTTTTACTCAAACATTCATGTTTTTTCCATATTTGTATAATTTATTTTTTTTTTATAAATTGTAATAATTAAGATGATGATTCTGATTCGGAGGATGATTTGTTGTCTCGCACGATAATGTTACAGTGCTACAAGATAATGTCACATTAGTACTAGAAAATGTCACACTGCTACAAATCAAATTTACACTGCTACAATGTCGTCCATATGTTTTTTTTTTTTAAAAAAAAATCATTACGGTCTCTGAATGTCAATCACGTTCATGTGAGGATAAATGTAACCAAGAGATGTTAATGAATCGGATTCCAATACATATCCAAGATCGTGTGATTGAGTTGGTTCTTCATTAGTAAAAAAATTTATAACCACTTCCATCCTTCTCCATCATTCTGCTACAAAAGGTGAAGATTTGGATAGTGAAATTTTAAAAAGATTCTTTCTTCAGCAACGATTAACAGAAAGTTTTGAACATCCAAAATGAGGTTTTATGAAAATTTTTGAAAGAATGAGATTTTCGGCGATATTGAAGGAATTTATTTGTAACTATTGAGATCCCTTAAATTTCGGTTGTGGAAGCAAAAATATAGGAATCAGTTCTCATTCTACTGAAGAATGTATTTTAGATATTTGTTAGGGTTGTGTACTTTTTGACTTATATTTTTAAAAGTATTACTTTTTGCCCTATATTTTCTAAAAAAAATACCGGCTCCCTTAAAACCCTATTTTAAGTCTACGTAGAATTGCTCTTCTAGAAATATTAGATCACTTATTATAAGACCACACAGATCAAACTAGATGAATATGTATAATACTTTGAATCCAATAACTACAATGAATTAGGTTTTCGAACTAAGTTCCCAAATTAAGTTCAAATTGTATTTTTCCTCTCAAAATTAGTCTCGTCCCTTCGCAGGAAATCTCGCATGCATGCATGCTTACTAGAGAAATCATCATTAATTTGTTCATCAATTAGCCATTTTTGTAACTGAAGAACAGGTAATATAAACAGTTTGAAGAACATATGTAATCAAAGTTTTTAGTATGCACGCCAATATCTATTTATAATCAATGTACATTTCATTTAAAATTATGATGATTCGATTAATTTCTATAATTACTCCTTTAATCATTCTCATTCATAGGCTCCTGTAAAAGTCGTGCCTGGCACTCGAGTGCAATGGCTGATCAAAGTATGCCAACATGACCCATTACTTGGGTCTACCCAGACTGCTCAAAATTGAAAGGACTCAAGCGATAGGGCCCCCTTCCACGACTTCTAGTGAAATAAATATTCAATGTAACAGTGATACTGTCACGTAATTTCAACATTTGATAAAAAATAATCAAGGGAATGAAATAAACTTCACTTTCATGTATGAAGTAGTTATTGTATTACATAGCGGGGGTGATTACTACATCGTATGGGATCTACTTGTTATTTTTTTACTTGATGACGATATCACGTGACCGTGATAATGTGATGTCACCGTTACATAAAATATTTTTGCCTTGAGTGTGTTAGTAGGTAATTGGACTATCGCATTCCTGACGTTGTATACTGCACCATACGCACAATCTTGAAAAAAGATTCATTATTTGCTCCAATAAGTTTTGTCCAGAACCATCCACTTTCTGATAATTCATCCTTTGTCCCACGTTTGGTTTTTCCACTAACACAAATTTATCATTTACAATGTGCTAAAAGTTCATACACTGATATTCAAACTATCTACAGAGAGGTCAACATAATCATCAATTCATCATTGTGGAGAGATTGATTGTATCGTTGTGCTTTTTTTCATAAGTTTTTTTAAGTTCTTGATCCCCAGCTTTTCAAAAGTATTTCATTTTCAAATAAAAAATGTGAAAAATGGCCATGTTGGAGGAAGTAGATAGATGTAATGGGGGAGTGAGAGAAGCACCCCCAGCATGATGGAAATTATTGGAGATTGTGGCAGTACAGTAGTAAGGTGGTTGTGATAGCTTTTAACTTCTACAACAACATCGATTTTTGAAATCATGAATCGAACCAGTGACACACCCATATATAACGTTCTTATCTACTTTGAAGACGGATATGAGTAAAGCGGTAAGATTATTTTATTGTAGTTTATGTAGATAAAAAAGAATTGATATATATGGCAATCTACTAGAACATATTTTGCACCAGGGAGCTAAAAGAGTTGGTTCAACTAGCATTACTTTTTTAGATATGTCTATATACCAATCTATTTTATTGATCTAATTTCTTGACATAATCAATTGCAATTGTTGGATCGACAATGAACAACATTCAATATTAGGACTTCTTGCTAAACCCGTTCAGCAATATAGGACTTCTCGTTAATCCAACAGCTAGAGTTAATTCGATTAATAAATTAATTCAACAAATTAAGTATTGAAGTAGCTCATTTGCTCTCCCAAGCAAGGTTGATGACCCCAAAAACAGTAGGGAGAGAGAGAGTCCCAAACAAGGTTAAGTCCATGAGGTCTCAGCTCTGGTTCCCAAATAATCCAGGCCTTCCATTAGCATTACAACAGGCGTGGCCACGGCCCACTAAAATTGAGGCCTAGATAGACCCTTCACACTTGGGCCTCTAAGGCTACCCTAAACTTATGAAACAGTGCTATGTTTTTTGGGAGGGTTGTCCAAACCTCAGTTTGAATTTGCTTGTTCAAATCCGAGTTTAATTAAAGATAGGATTCAATATTCAATAATGTTCGTACTCATGTTTGATATGCGCAAGAATATATAACTATTATGATAATATATTTGTACTTAAATGACTATTGTGTCTCTTAACTAATTTAATTTAAACATGAATATAAATATACAGAGATATAAATATCATTTGAATATGAAACCCTCGTACCCACCCACGTATGAAATCCACCCCTGTGAGTTTCATGGAAACCATGAACAAAAGTTTTATAACTGGATCATGACCGACCTGGATTTCAAACCCCTAAATTCATATTTACCGGATATGGATTTAAGGGCCCCAACCCATGTTCCAAACCAACCCCCCCTCCCCTCTTCAGACATACGTACCAAACAGCCCCCGGGAGTTTCCATACCAATCAAAACTGTTCCATCTGAGAAGAGCAAGGTTTTCCAAATGGGTACTAATAACAAATGGAAAAACACTGCTCTTCTGGTCATAGACATGCAGGTATCTATACTTCTACCAGAAAAACCACTCAGTGCTGTTATTCTGTTTTTTTCTTATTTTTTGTTTTCTTTTTGATTCTTGTTTTTCACTGTTTGTATCAGAAAGATTTCTTATTACCAGGTGCTCCGATGCTTGTAAATGGTGGCGAAGCTATTGTCCCTAATGTTATCGAGGCTGTTGAGGTTGCTAGACGCCGTGGCATCCTCGTTGTTTGGGTATCCCCCTATCTTCTCTGCCACATTCTTTTACTCAATCTGTAGTTCCTTTATCATTCACTTCAATTTCTTTGTAGCTTTGATATACAAGGAACAATATTTGTGTGTTTGTGTTCCTCTATTGTGTATCACCCCGTTTTGTTTCCTTTTTGCTATCTTCTTCTTTATGGCTTGGTCTGGGACGAATTTAGGATTTCAGTTCAGGGGTGAATTTTTTTTGACATGTCTTTCAAGAGAGGAATTAAATAAGTTTGGGGGTACACTGTTTGGGGCCAAGAGCACGGGGTTCAAGCGGTGGGGTCTAGGAAAAGTTAGATGTACGAAATCTTAATGGCTGTTTCTGCAAATCGAATTGTAGACGGCACTAAGGTCAAAAGAGTTATTGTTGCATCAAGGCCAACAATCTGAAAAAATTACTTGAAATTGTGGGGGTCGTCTCATAAAATTTATATCAAAATAATGCATTTTTAAACTTAAAGAATCGGGTGCCCCCTAGATCCATCATCGACTTAAAGGTGAAAGAGATAGAATTGTTTTTGTATTCATTACTGGCTTCTAGTAAGTGTAGACTTCCAAGAAGGTGGCTTCCCTAGCATAAACAATCAAAACTTGACTCATAGAACAAATATGTTTTTTGTGGTTGTCTAAACTGTATACTTTCCTTTGCATTAGAAACCATCATTGAGTAAGTGGTTGTAGGTTGTACGTGAGCATGACCCTCAGGGAAGGGATGTTGAACTGTTTCGCAGGCATTTGTACTCTGCTGGGAAACCAAAACCGACCTCTAAAGGTAGTGTAGGGGCAGAACTAGTTGATGGTCTAGTGATCAAGGAAGAAGAATATAAACTGGTGAAGACGCGTTTCAGTGCATTCTTTGCTACACATCTTCATTCGTTTCTTCAGGGCTGTGGGATTAGTAATTTAGTTATCATTGGTAAGGAGTCCTGACATTGATTCTCTAGTCTTATAATTTCAGTTTGGTTACTTTGCCTAGGATTCAAAATGTTGTCACAGTTGCTTATTATATGTTTCTAGGTGTTCAAACTCCAAATTGCATCAGGCAGACTGTCTTTGATGCAGTAGCATTGGATTACCCATCTGTTGCTGTTATTGTTGATGCCACGGCTGCTGCAACACCTGACGTACATGCTGGTATGAATTTTCACCCCTATAGCCAGTTTTTAAATGTCTTGTTACGTGGCCATATTTTGTAGAAGTTCACTGTTTTGTTTTGAACTAAGTGAATTAAAGTTCTCTTTTGTATAGGATTAGAAATCATGACATTCTTTTCAATTAGAATTTGCAAAAGCTAGAATGTTGTGTTGATATAATTTGCTGGTATTTATAATTGCTAATTATTATTTACTCTACTAATGGTAAGACCAAATTCTTAGTTTTTGTTAAACTTTACTCACTAAAGAAGTAAAAAGCTATATCTTTTCAATTTTCCACCTCAGTAGCCCTGTTCTTTTAGCTCATTTTAGACCATCTTAGCTTTCTTGTTTCATTCAGGAGTCAAAAATTTTTGATTTGTTGCTTTCTTAGCTTGCAGGCTTCACCCTATATTTTTTGCTTTGTATCCTATATGATGACGGGAGTGGCACTATATGTATAGCTTTTTTTTTCAGGGTTACGTGTTCTTATTTAATCAAAACCTGACTTGGTGTGTCAAGAGGGGCTAGACGACTAAGTATAAATTTTGGTGTGTGTTAGTAATGTCTTGAAACATTTTCTTCGTGCAGTTTTTATGATTGGGAATGCTTAATATTAGCAGTGGAATATTACAATTTGGGAGTTGTGACAATAACAGCACATTCGTGTATTTTTTCTATTATGTTTTCTATTTTTCTTTCACTTATGTAAGCGCAAAGTTGCAAACAAATTAATGATTAAGTAATTGGACACTCGTTTCTACTATTTCTTTCTATTTGGTTGTCAACTGTTGTCTTTGCGAAAACCTTCATTTATTTTTGAGTTTTCCATCAAGATAGTTAGTTACCCAGGTGAAACACTATGCTTTTATGGGTAATTAAGTGAAGCTCTCTGTTGCCATTGAGAGATTGTGTACTCTAGTACATAAAAAAGCCCCAATTATGTTGATTTTAGTTGCTACCTGCCTTTCAGTGGTTAGTGTTGCTTGTTTATATACTCTAAAGCTTTATTATTCCCTGGCCTTCACCATGTCTCAGTTATAGTTGCTTCACTGGCTTCAGGTTACATAGTTCTTTACCCTGTAATGTATAAAGTCAATCAGTAATATCAGATTTTGAATTTTCTGAACCAGCCAATTTTTTTGACATGAGAAATATCGTAGTGGCGACCCCAATTTTTCAGGAATGGTGTGCATCCGTTGATTAGTATAAAAATAAATCAGGCAACTCCCTTCTGCTATGCCTCTATTTTGTCTGTTGTCCATGTGAAGACTATATACGTGCTCTACTTCACTCTGATTGCATTCAAACATGGTGACTAGTTTTTTTTTCTTTTTTGAACGGTGTTATTGCAATTAGTTGGTTGACCTTATATTGCGGTTGTATAAGAATTGCTTGTGTCTGCTATGATTAGTCAATGCTTTGGGCAATACTTCAACTGCTGACAGTGCAATATCCTCTAGCAGCTGCTTTAGGATATCAAAAGGGAGTAATTTTACATTGACCAAAACATGGATCAAATGATGTTGCACTGATGTGATGAGCAAAATTTGAGTTTTTGCTTAGCAAAAGTCGGACCAACAGCATTACACTACGTTTGTATCACATCATTTGTTTTTTACCTCGAGATAGTTCATTACTCTAGGAAAACTATCTGTTGCCAATAATAGATTATGTGTTTTTGTGCTTGAGAAAGCCTAGTTATTTCGAATTTACATGCTAGCTGTCTGATGGGACATTTCTGGGAGAAGACAGATCGCCGACATGTGTCCTCGGCATCGTTATGATTCCAGTCAGGCATGACCACGTGTTCTCAGCGACACTCATCCCAATCTGTCAAGGAGATAGTGCTCGGAGCCAAGGGATCACCCCAATCGGCGTGATCAACACATATGTCCTCAGCTCGGTAAAAACCTTGACTCCAAGGTAGACAAATGTTTCTCGGTACCGAGGTGTTCCTTCTGTAGGCTGAATCCAACCTCTCTTCTGCTTCTAGGAAAGATAATGATTGACAGATGGCTAGCCTAGGCCAAGCTAGGCTAATCATCATGAAGACGCTCTGCTCGATGGTGTCAGAAGGCGCAGGAGTGCAGAGCATGCACCAAGGAGGGGTAGACGCGTGGAATTTGATATCAAATCAGTAGCAAAAAGACTTGGGTACCCACATGACTAGAACAAGTAAGCATTTAATGAATCATCCTCCTATTGAGACAGCAATTAAGGCATGGGAACCGAGAAGTGAAGTGCATTAAAAGACCCCCATACCTGGACATTTAATACATCCTCGCCGAGAAGGGGGAATTGAATGCTCGGCCGACCGAGGAGGGAGTTTTAAATGCTCGGTATCCCAATCAGTTAAAGCAAAGTCCATTTCCCATAAAAGTGAAAGGCACACTGTCCCATCTCTGACAAATATTTGTTGGATGGACTATCAGCAATCATGAGCTTTTGAAGGTATAAATAGTCTCAAAAACGCATTGCAAAGGTACACAAAAACTTCTAAAAAAATAACTATACAGTGCTTTCTTCTTCCCCTTTCTCAAAAAACTGACTTGATCGTCGAAGAAGATACGCCGGAGAACACTCCGGCAACCTTCTAACCTGTTTTTCCTTGTCACAGGATCCCTCCACAGTCTTCCAGGACTGGCCAGGCGACCCAACAAATAATTCATCACCAATCCTTATGGTCCCTTTGTCCCTCTCAACCTACTTCCTGTTGTCAAAACCTACTTTCGAATGGATCAAATCTCTATTAGAGGCGATCGAAAATCATGAAAGCAAACCCTTCGTTCCGTCGGAATTATTATCTTGTCAAATCACAGTTCATCGTGGAAGAGATCTGTTCCTACTCCTACTGTTGTGCAAAAACTAGCACGCACACTGTCTTTAGTTTGTTTGTGTCACATGTTTTGTGTACTTCAAAGCTGAGTGTTTCCTTGGACTTCACCACTTCTCAGTTAGAATTGGTTCAATAGCTTCAGATTATATAGTTCTCCAGCAATGTATAAAAGCCCATGACTAACACTATATTTTAAATTTTCTGAACCAGCCAATATATTTGACATGAAAAATATTGGAGTGGCAACCCCAACTTTGCAGGAATGGTGTGCATCCGATGATTGATATGTAAGGCCTCTTCTCAGTCTGGTGTATGTGTGAAGGCTATGTGAGAGCTATTCTTGATTCTTCCCTCTGATTGAATGTAAACATTGTTGTCTGTTCAACAAGCTTATATTGTGGTTGTGTAAGAACTGCTGGTGTGTCTGCCTTGATTAATGGATGCTTTGGACAATGCCTCAGTTGCTGACAGTGTAATATCCACTGATTGCTGCTTTTCTAAATCACCATGTCAGTTTCGCTGTAATGTTCTTGTATAAGGCTCGGTAGCTGGCCGGGCTGGCTCGTTATCCAAACAGTCATTGCATAACATTGGCAGGCTTTAGGGCTGTTTACTGGAACACTGGCCTGGTCTGTCATCTAGAAATTCCATGGCCCATGCCTATAAATCCGGCTGACTCTAATTGGCCTTCTCCAACCTGTTTCGCGTGAATAAGCCGGGCTGAAGATTAATTTGCAGGGCTGGCGAAACCCAAAATATGCACATGTCTAGGCTATCCACATACCAGCCAAGGGTCCGGTAGGCCCTTCAGGTTAATGGGTCGGCCCATGGGTTGCGGATCATTACATCATGTACTATAATTTTTAGGGAGAAGCTTGTGAATGCCCATACTAGGCTAGGCCATATCGAGGTATGGGGTTGAAAAATGAATCAAAATTTTGATTTGAATGATCGTTGAATAAAAAAAAAAAAAACAAGTGTGTGTGTGTCTGTGCAACGTTTCTATCAGAAGAAAAAAAGGTGGGGGCGGAGGTAAAAAAGTGCAAAAGGCAAAAGGCAAAAGGCAGTGGGTGGGGACCTAAGAGCAGGAACAGAGGATAGGTCAGGTCAGGTTCAGGGGATTTGTGTAGCCCATGGGCCTCCGCCTCTTAGGCCATAACCCTATTTATTAACGCCATGAAGTGGAGTGCCGTGGGAAAATGGGCAAAGCCTATGGCTATGCCACCTGTACTGTGGCACTGTGAGGGAGTCAAACTCTGACAGATTAGGTTCATTCAAACAGGTATGATGCGATATAGCAGTTGTCTACTCTACCCATAAAATAGTTAGGTTCATTGAAAGAAGTATGATAAGATATAGTAGTTGTCAACTGTACCCAAAAACAAAATAAATTCGGGATCGGTGGTAAAAAAAATAATAAATATATTCGCAATAATAATAAAATATTCACAAATAAAATATATTTTTTATTATAAAATAATCCACAAAAATAATAAAATATAGAGGAAAAGTACTATTTCTTTTTTTTTTTTTGCGTACCATGGTAAGTCCTAAATCAACGGGTTGATGAGTTGACTTTAAAGTATGCGTGTTACTATGACCAAAGATTCGAAGTTCCCAATGGCCAAAACCAAATTGTCCAAGTCTAGTGTCTAAAAGTTTTTTTTTGGGTACGATTTTGGTTTTTTTTATAATTTCTTAAGCGAAAATAAAAAAGGGTACTTGGTCAAGAAACAACAAAGAAATTAAAACTAGTATTTTGTTTGTTAAGAATTACAATTTGTTCCATGGCTGGAAAATTAAGTCACATACATATCTATAAGCATAGTATCTGTATAGTATGACTCGGATGGATTCCTACAAGTGTATAGTCCGAAACAAGTTTTTGTGCATCATTTACAAGTTTTGAGGATTATTTATAATTTTTAATAGTTATTTATAACTTTTGAGGTTACTGATTAATTCCAAATGATCCACAAAAATTATATTTGTGACTTACAAAAATTATAACTTGAACCATAAAAGTTGTAAAAAAGATTTATCCTTAGCAAACCTAAAAATTTTGCATTTTAACCCACAAAATTTTAAAAATTTAGTGACACTGCACTAAAAAATTTTATTTGGTACCCTAGTCGACTCCTACTTGTATCTTATGACTCATACATTTCTATTATTGTATGGTCTACGGAAAGCCAAAAGTATATAGTCTTATACATAGAGTGTCAAGACAATTTTTTTTGTTTTTTTCACTTTTGATCTTAAAAAAAAAAAACAAAAAAGATTATGGCAAAAAAAGAAGNGGGGCGGAGGTAAAAAAGTGCAAAAGGCAAAAGGCAAAAGGCAGTGGGTGGGGACCTAAGAGCAGGAACAGAGGATAGGTCAGGTCAGGTTCAGGGGATTTGTGTAGCCCATGGGCCTCCGCCTCTTAGGCCATAACCCTATTTATTAACGCCATGAAGTGGAGTGCCGTGGGAAAATGGGCAAAGCCTATGGCTATGCCACCTGTACTGTGGCACTGTGAGGGAGTCAAACTCTGACAGATTAGGTTCATTCAAACAGGTATGATGCGATATAGCAGTTGTCTACTCTACCCATAAAATAGTTAGGTTCATTGAAAGAAGTATGATAAGATATAGTAGTTGTCAACTGTACCCAAAAACAAAATAAATTCGGGATCGGTGGTAAAAAAAATAATAAATATATTCGCAATAATAATAAAATATTCACAAATAAAATATATTTTTTATTATAAAATAATCCACAAAAATAATAAAATATAGAGGAAAAGTACTATTTCTTTTTTTTTTTTTGCGTACCATGGTAAGTCCTA